GTGCTGCTTGTGAATGTAGCCATTTTGAATTGGGATGCACAAAGATAAACACAGGATTTCTGAGTCAATATGAAAAATGAATGTAAAATAGCTTATTACTTTTATATTGATTATGTGATAAGGTGATAAGATTTTGGATGTACTGGTTAGGTATATTATTCAAATTTCAAACTCATTTTACCTGTTCTTTTTTTTTTTTCTACATGATTATAAGAAAAATCTAAAAGGCATTTGCAACTCCTGTTGAATTTTTGTTGGACAGACCCTACGTAGGACATCTCAGTACCTGGAATATCAAGTGCCTTGTATGGCCCTAAAAAAAGACGGAGTGCCCAGCCTTTCTCAAACTAACTATACCTCTACACTCCATTTTGTAGAACATTTATAAATCTTCCTTGAAATGGCAGTTTTACATAGTACACAGTTTGAGAAAACTGTCATAATAACATTTCCATATTTTGCTCAGTCTAACCCAGACTCCACTCCCTATCACATTGCATCTTCTGACAAATCCACAATTTTATACCTACTTGACGTGTTTGTTAGCTCAGCAGATTCAGCTGCAACCTGTGAGGCAGATCCTGCTGGTGATATACTTTATGATATCAATTTATTAACTTTATCATCTATTGAAAAATTAATATTCTTTAAATAATAAACTATAAATACCTTTCTAACTATTTGCGTATCTTTATGGATATTTAAACAATGGGAACAAATATCCAATGAAACTCACTAAAATATAACTAAGACCACCAGTCTATTACGTAAAATTATTTTAAATGCTTTAATCATCTTAAAATACATATTTTTTTTTAAAAATGTTGCCCTGGGGGTGTGGCTCAGTGGTTAGAATGTCAGCCCACATATCTCAGGGTCTCTGGTTTGATTCCTGGTCAAGGGCATGTGCCTCGGTTGCACGTTCCATCCCCAGCCCTGGTTGGGATGTGTGCAGGAGGTAACCAATTGATGTGTCTCTCTCACATCAATGTTTCTCTCTCTCTGTCTCTCTCACCCCCACCCTCCCTCACTTCTACTCTCTAAATACCAATGGAAAAAATATCTTCTGTGAGGATCAACAACAACAGCAAAAAAAAAACACCAAAAAATAAAATAAAATAAACAAGTAAACTAAGCAAAAACAAATAAAATTGCCAAGAGAGGTACTTAAGTACAAAGGAATGGTGTTAACCATGGTGGTAAAGTACAGTTCATCTTCATTATTCACAGATTTTATACTTGTGAATTTGCCCACTCACTAAAATGTATTCGTAATCCCCAAATCACTACTCATGGTGTTTTTAAGGTAATTCACAAAATGAGCAGAGCAGCAAAAAGTTTGAGCCTCCCAATGTATATGTTCCCAGCTGAGGTCAAACAAACGCTCGGCCACTGGTTTGAGCTCTCATACTGTAAACAAGTACCTTTTTTTGCAGTCTGTTTAGTGTTATGTGTTTTGCATTGTTTTCCTTTGCTTGGAGATTTTGCTGTATGAGAAGACCCTCAGTGTAGTGCTCAAGTGCTGTTCGGTGTTTCTTAGCACAAGAAGGCTGCAATGTGCCTTACAGAGAAAATCTGTGTGTTAGATAAGTTTCATTCAGGTATGAGTTGGCCATGGGTTCAATGTTAATGAATCAACAATATATTAAGATGTCTTTAAATAGAAACACATATTTTAAAAGGTTATGTATAACCTGTGTGGAGGGTGTTTTTAGCTAGAGTTGGAACTCATTGATCAAGGGACATAGAACATGGTAGAAATAGTATCTTAGTCATCCCCTTTATTCCTAGTGCCTAGAGAAAATTTCTGACTAACAGCCCTAGGCCTCCATAAATAAATATTTTGGAAGTTTAAAAAATTAAAAATTAAATTAAAGAAGGTTATATATTGATTGGTTCCCAAAAATGTGACCAGAGGCTCGCAGGCACCTAACCCTATATTTCCTCTAGGAGCAATGATTCAGTATTCACTATTCGTGTTCGCAGTCTTTATAGAATATAACTACTATAAATAATAATTGTATGAAGAAGAAGAATAATGTATTCTTCATACATTATCTGTTTTAAAGCCCACAGAGTAGTGTTGTCTTTGCTTTACAGATAAGGAATTTGATGTTATACATATTAGATTGCGTGACTTAGAGCTAACATGTGGAAGTGACAGGATTTGAATCCATTTCTAACTCTCCAGAGGGGAAGGGAACTTTCTCCTTGAACTGGAATGCTAGTTCTTAGGAAAGGGTGGCCAGGCCCATTATCAGGTGCGAGGAGAGCTGAGCTTAGTCAAGAACAGTATATTTCTAAGAAAGGAGGGTGCAATCAGCAAAAAGGGAGGCATCAGGATGGTGAAGAGTCTGGGAAACAACCACATCAAGAGAGAAACAGTGGAAGGAATAGGAATTGTTCCACCTAGAAATGAGAGTTTGGAGGCAAACAAGAGGCACCTTTAAATACCTACAGGGCTATCTTGGAAATGAAGAATTAAATGAAAAGCCTAACTAGAATAGAGGTTGAGCAGATTTTGACTCAATGAAAGGAACATTTTCTGATGTTCAGAGTTCTCCCACAAGATGGGGGACCGAGGGTCCATAGACCAAATCCAGCTGCAGACACATCTTGTAGGCTCACAGTGCTTTTTAAAACATATTTAAATGCTCTCTGTAGGGCATGTGTCCCCAGCTTCCACAGCCTGCACCACCCCTGAGCTTTTAGCCCCGTGTCACTCCTTTGCCTTGTCCTTTATGTATAGGGATGAGAGATTTAGCAAATAGAAATACAGGATGCAGATAAATTTATATTTCAGACAAATGACAAATAATCTTTTAGTGTATGTCCCATCCAATATTTGGGGTATACTTATACTGTGTTTATATTTATGTCTGACTCGGGATTTACTAATACTGTCCTGTATTTAATCTGACGACCCTACAATGGAGCTTTATTTTTTTATTTAAAAGTTTTATTTTCCCTCAGTAAAGGAACAAATAACTGGTCACATTTAACCTCCCTCCCCCTTCCCAAGTCCTTTCCCCCCTCGTCTTTGGCAACCATCAACAATTCTCTGTATCTGTGAGTTTCTTTGTTTTGTTTTTTTAGATTCCACTACTGTAAAGGCTTTAAATAGGAGCCCCTAATGTTATATTTTGAGGAAGTGGGCTTTATATTTGACGAATATTCAAAGACTTGTCTCCCAGGAATCCTCAGAATGGAAACAGCACTAAAGTGGTTTAAGTGAGCCATCGTCCTATTTTGTTGAGACACCTCCCTCCCCCATTTTAGAGCAGCAAAACCACAGAAAGCAGAGAGAGAGAATACTTCTGAGTAACACCCCAGGTGTTTTCCTGGGTGTGCTTGAAGGGTAGACTCGGGCTCCTGGCTCTAACAGCAGAATGTTCCACCAGAGCTGGACTGACGAACAGGTAAGGACACAAGATGGTTTTGACTCTAATATCAATTGCTACTAAAATTCCTTTTAAGTGCAAGTTGATTGATGTGTCCACAGCTGGGGAGAATGGTCACAAACTCTTTCTGGATCAGGGCATGAACCCAGAGGCATAAACCATCCCCAGATGATCATTGTTTTCTCTGTCAAAAGCCATCTTCTACTTCTCTGACACTGTCGTTAGTCATCCTAATGCCTGTTTCCCTATCCTGCTGCCAGGACTGCTTTTCTGGTTGTTTTGAACAGACTGTGACCAATTCACCGAGGACTGGAACACAGCAGCAGTCAATCTGAGGGGAGAGGCTGGCAGTAACTCACTGTTACCACAGCCTCAGTAGCCTGGATCTCTGAGGTCATTCTCAGAAACTGTGCCTCTAAAAATAGGTGTTAGTCGTCTTTAGACATCAGCTAGTCTTTCAGCATCCTCCTGGCCTTCAGAGAATTAGAATGTTTATGTTTGATGGGACTTAAGCATTTGGTCCAACTCCCTCATTTTGTAGATAAGGAAAGTTATCTTCATGGAAGGTTGACAAGGTCCAGAGCTCTCTGCAGCTGGCAAGTGACCTCCCATTCCTCCTGCTCAGGTTACTGTGTCTTCCTCCCTCACTGTCACACAAATTTTTCAAAGTCCTTCACTCAAAACAAAGAAATGACAAAAGGCAGAGCAAGTTAACAAAATGAATAGAAGTATTCAGGGGGGAGTGTGTGCTACACACCAGAGTACAGACTGAAGTCTACACAAAGGGAGGGTCCTTGGCTATTTTAATGTGTCCTTTCTAGGAAAAACTCCTAGGAGTCACGAACTTTGCCATCTTTTAAAAGACAGGTGCACCCAGAATATCCCCGGGTTCAGTAGGACACTCACTAAATATTCCTAGCGATGCCCTATTTCCTTCAAGATTAAATAAAATCTCAATAAGACTCTATTTCAACTATTGTAAAGTAGGGACAAATTGTTTAACATGTCCTTTCTTTTTACAGAAAAACTGAACTTAAGGGTTGAGCAGTAACTGGCACAGGAATCTCTGGATCGTAAAGAACTTAAAGGGACTTACGGCATTGCTGCTCTTGTCATAGCCCTGTTTTCACTGGCTGTTCTTGATAGGTATTCTACCCCAGGGTTGTGTACTCACATTATGCACACAGATCCCCAGCCAATATGTCCAATGAATGAGTTAGAAATAAAGAAAAAAGAACAGGTTTTTGGAATCATAAATATCCTGGTCCCTTCATTCACCAGCTGGTGAACTTGGGCATTTTTAATTTCTCCAAGCTTCAGTTTCCTTATTTGTAAAATGCAGATGAACCACCTCTCTTACAGGACTGTTGGGAAGGGAAAAGGGAATAATGAAAGAGCTCCATGAATGGCAGCTATTATTATTGCACCTGTGAACTAACACAAAACGTAAGCAAAAGAACCACTATGTGGTGGTATGACTTTCTAGACTTTTCATGCAGTCCCATTTTGAGTCAGTTGCTTTGTGTAACTTTCCACTCTGGTGGGTACTGTTTTATTGATCCCTAAGAGTGTTTAAGGAGACACATAACAGTCAACAGCGGATGCATGCCAATTGTTTTATTTATGATGCCTATTTGGATGACCAGGCCAGCCAGGGTTTGGCCCCCAGAAAGAAGCTTAAGGCCCCCATCCATGTCATTACTCCACAACGCGGCGGAAAGACTGGACAGCTGGGGAAGCTGCGCCCCACTCGACGGGCTTCCGGTACTCCTTCTTGTCCAGGAGGTACTGCCGGCCGCGATAGTTGGGTAGCTCGTAGAAAATCCAGGCACCCTGCAGCACCTTACAGGAGTGCACCTCTCGCATGTGAAACTGCTCCAGGATGGAAGGACAGTCTTCAGTGGTCTCGTACATCTGACCATTAAAATCTCCTTTCTCAAAGATCTGCAGCTTATACTGGCCTCCACCAGACTGAAAAAACACAGGAGGAAATGAACAGTAACCATTATGGAAACCACCCAACAGGCCACAGCCTCAGAGAACAGCATGGCCAGAACCATCATCTTGAAATCTAGATGATCTGAACTCCCATCCCCACTGTGCACTGACTGAAACAGCTGACTTTCAATAAGAAAAACTTAATTCCTTAAAATCCTCAAGGGGTAAAGTGCTACGGAAATAATTAGTGTATTCAGTCTTGTGATGAACTGACCTAAGATTTAATTTAAGCCTCCACAGCTAAAAAAGACAGCTCCCCATTAAGAGGTAGAAAAACCTCAAAAAAGCTTTCAAGCAAATGCCAAAAAAAAAAAAAGGCTGTGGGGAGGAGAGAGCCAGCACCACCAGACTCACCAGATGAACAGCTCTGCAGGAGCCCAGGCGGTCGTTGAGGCCCATCCAATGCTGGTATTCAGGGTACTCGCCCCGAGGTAAGATGTACATGTACCCAGCAAAGTTGGGCCTTTCATACACAGCCCAGGTGCCCCCTTCCACTCTGATGGAGTTGCAGCGATTCAGGTACATGTGGAAATCTGCACAGTCGCAATCACAGTCATAGTGGCGGCCTTGAAAATTTTTGTCTTCATAGAAAGTAATCTGAAGTACAGGGCAAACAAAGAGAACTGAGGAGTTGGGTGGCAGTATTCATACATAAAATAAAAATTAAGAACATATTCCCCACTTCAGAAATTCCTTCCTCCTCTATTTTGCTCTACCTCACCTTATAACATTTACATTCTGGCAGACAACTTTGGTTGTCAACAATAGGTATGAGTACTTTCTGAAGGCTTAAAATGAAAAACAAAAAGTGCTCTAATACAAGCCAGCAATTTCAGACTCAAGCTCATTGCTTCCTCCTTTTTGTTTCCACAGCTCACTGTACTTATCACGTTATATAATGAGTTATCAACTAGTATGTCTGTCTCTCTCACCAGACTCCTTGTAGACTTCTTCCAAGGCCGAAGACCAAACCTTATTTGAGCTAAGAACCCCTGTGCCCAACGCCTGACACACCCTCAGATGCAGACATTCATTCTAGGTGATGTGGAAGATATGTAGGAAAAATTAAACATAGATCTTAGTTTTAGAAAGCTTATTTTAGATGGGTATCAAGCAGACGCACATGAAAATGTAAGATATTGTTCTGTATTATGATTTTATTGCCAACAGAATTGTTGCACAGTGACAATACAAGGCAAGCTGTATTCTTTGTTTCAAGCTCCTACCCAGTTTCTAACAGAATGCTTGGGGTACACCCTGAGATCTCTGATGGCCCTAGAAAACACGCAGCCCTGAGAAACCAGAAATAATAAACCTGGGCTCTAGAGCTGCATCTTCATAATCAGCACTACTACCTTAGCCAAACCATCTCTCAGCTCCAATCTCCCGTTTGTCAATGAAAGGAATAGACTACATTGGAAGGCTTGACTGTAAAATAAAACTCAAGAGCTTTTCTGGTTGAAACAGTAGATGGAGTTCCTAGAAATTCCTAGGGCTTCGTGAAACCATGTCTGACAAATGCTAGAGTTTGTCCATTCTTCTATAATTCTGCAATCCAAGATCAATGCTAGGTTATAATTTAAAACTGAAATCACAGGGGTCACTGATTCAATAAATTAATTCTTTGGCGTTATGCTGCCACCTTGTGGCTAATTTCCTCTATTGGTTTAAAAAGAGAACGCCATGAAAGGAGCAGAGCCAAGCAGCCTGGAGAGGACATTTGAGGTGAGGCTTGAAGGGGTTTTCCAGAGGCAAAGAGAAAAGGATCGCCTGTTCAAAGGAATGAAGGAATGAAAGATCATGACCCATCGTAGGGACCAGTAGTTCATTAAACCTGGTACATACTGAGCATTTGTGAAGAATTAGGAAACAAAGCCAGAAAAGAGACACAGGAGCCATGCTAGAGTCCCTTTGGTGATTATGTGGGACATGTTTCTGTTAATAGATGGTTGCTATGGGCAAGGTGAGTGATGAGGGCCAATGGAAAGGCAACTACAATGTGAATGATGATGAGGAAACAGTTAAAACAAAGTTAGGATTTGGTGACTAATTAGATGTAGAGAATGAAGGACAGGAAGAAACCAAGAATGACTCACAAATGGGCATAAACCTTTCTCTTCCACCCCATGTGATTCCTTCTAGATAGTTCCCTATTAATAATTATTTCCTTCTATCTTAATACCCCTCCTTACCTTTCCCATTTCTTTCAACTCTTCTATTCAGACTTAAAATGGAAAAACAAAAGTGCTCTAATATAAGCCAGCAATTTCAGAAGTTTTCTAAAAGCTTCCTTACTCCTTTCCACCTCTAAATCATCTATTTTATCTCTTTTCTCCCGTTTCCAAATTTATCTCTTCCAGTGCCCTTTCCCATTTTAGCACAGCACATATTTAGAGCTGCACGATGCCCGTTTACAGATGAAAAAACCAAAATTGCAGCACCACTAGTTACTGTCTCTGTGACCTTGGACAGGCCATTGAATCTGAGGCTCAGTCTCTTCATTTGTAAAACTGGATAACAATATCTACTGCACAGGGTTGCCCTGAGGGTCCAATGGGAGAATGCCCATTAAGCACTTAGTTTAATATCTTGCAGGCAAACAAGTGGACTGCAGTGCAAATTGTTGCAGGCAAACAAGAGGACTGCAGTGCAAATTCCTGGTTAGTAATCTGGTTCATTTTATTTTACTTTCTCTCCCCCTTTGCTGTCTTCCTACCTGCACAGCTATCTCTGTTCGACATACAGCATTTACTCTCTTAGAAATGGAATTAACACTGATCCTGAGTCTGAGGGGCTTTTCCCAAAACCTGTGGAAAGATCTTTAGGAAAATAAAGGTAACTTTTCTAAGAATAGATAGATCCAAAGTTCTTAATTCAACTTACCTTTGGTTTTTGGCCAACTAATCAGAAAAAAAGAGACTATGTTATGGGAAATTAGGTTAGTATCATCTATTTCCCTTCATTGTTTCTCACACTTACTGCCATCCGCACATGGGTCTGACATCAGTAGCTGAGAAATGAAAATATCCAAGATGTTCTACAAGGTCACCTTGCTGTCCACCTTCCCAGCAGAACAGCCAACCATCTCAAGATTGAAACAAAGCACTAATGTTGCCGTGGAACCATTAGTGAGCTCCAGGACCAAGCTCCCCTTCAGTGGGAGACCTTCCAAATCTCAGGGCCCAGAGAATGTTGCATAGCTACTCACTTTCCATTTGTAGGACAACGAAATTTACTTTATGGGCAGCTGAGGGAAGGTTTTAACTCTTGGGGGGAGGGGGTGTAGAGAGCTGCAAAGAAGGCTAAGAAATGTGCAGAATACTTGCCTAGAAATTATTTCACAATTCCTCTCATTTTTAAGTTTTGTTTTGTTTTTTTAAAGAGTACTATTACAATATAGCAGAAAGGTGTCTCAAGTATTCCAGAGGTAACAAAAGCAAACATAATACATTCTTTTTGCCAAGCCCTTAACTCCTCTGATTAAACTGCTAGTAAGAGTGGGAAAGGGAGAACTAATGAGAAAGAGTAAGAGATACTATCTTCTTTGGTCTAGCAAAGAAAATTTAGTTAAGCAAAAGGCCAGCTACAAGAAATAGAAGAGAGCACACCATTACTACTTTGGAAATCTCTGAAAGCAGGGATGTTTTCATCTAAGATGGTTCTGTAACAGCCTTCCCTCAAGCCACATGGATATCCTTCTAAGGACTTCAAATTCTTTTCAGTGGGATGTGCATGGCATATTTTTAAGAACCTCAGAGCACTAAAGACACTGTCTCATTTTTCTCCTCAAACCTTCTGAATGACAAGAATGATTACTAGTTCTATTTTCTAAGTGGAAAAACAAATCAGGCACTAACCAATTCTGGAACAAATTAACAGGTGCTCCCTAAAATGATGCAATGGGAAGTCCTTGACATTGCCTATGTAGCTTTCTTGCCAAAGATGGTTAGTTGGAATCTAAACATGTGAAAACAATTAGACAAATCCAGCTTTCAGGAATTTCTACAAGACAGCTGTTCTGGACTTTGAAAAATGTCAATGTCTCAAGAAACAACCACCAAAAAGGCAAAGGGACTGTTCAATATAAAAGAGGCTAAAGGAAAAAAAAGATCCCTGGCTGGGTAGCTAAGCTGGGTAGAGTGTTGTCCTGATATGCCAAGGTTTCAGGTTTGATCCCCAGTCAAGGCACATATNGAAAAAAAAGATCCCTGGCTGGGTAGCTAAGCTGGGTAGAGTGTTGTCCTGATATGCCAAGGTTTCAGGTTTGATCCCCAGTCAGGGCCCATACAAAAGTCAACCGGTGAATGAATAAGTGGAACAAAACTTGATGTTTCTCTCTGTTCTCTCGCTATATAAAATAATAATAAAAAAATTTTTTTAAAGAGGCTAAAGAAATATGACAACCAAATGCAATGCATAATCCTTGGTTGGATCCTACATCAGAGGAAAAGCCAGCCATGGGCACATTTTTTAGAGCAATAGGGGGAAATTTGAATATAGTCTGAATATTAGGTATTATGATAAATTTGGGGGATGTGATAATGATATTATGTTTGTACAGGGGAATGCCCTTGTTTTTAGGAGATATATGCCTAAATATTGAAGGCAGAAGTATTAAGATTGCTATTTTCAAATGGTTTAATAAAAAAAGACAGAAGAGACAAAATAGGGGAAAATGTTAACAACTGAAGAATGTAAGTAAAGGATATATGAGTATTCATTCACCATTTCTTTCTTCTTCTTTTAAGATTCAATGGGTTTGGAAATTTTCAAAGTAATAAGTCAGAGGTGAAAATCAGGCACCAATGGCTTTGTTTTAGACAGTGGGCAGTGGAAGAGCTAAAAAGTGAATGAAAGTATATTCCCATTCCCAAAACTCTGCCTGAGGAATCAATAGCCAGTCCAACTGTGAATCAAATATTTCAAGGCAGTTTTCCTAACTTAGCAAGCACTTGATTTGGGGGAAGGGGTAAGAGTAACTACTTGAATGAAGAGGATATGTAGGATTTAATTCACTTGATTGTTCCATCCACCTTGGCTTTTAAAATATTAATGGTTGAGGCTAAATTTCATAAAATTTTCATTGAATACCAAAAGATTTCTACTTCATATAATCATCCAATCAGCATGTCCTATTCCTGTGGAAGTTCATGGAATGTTAGTTGCTAGAAGACAGAAATCATATTTACATGTTACTCAACATACTAACCCTAACCCTTAACAAACTGTTTGGTAATTCTGTTAGAGTAGAAAATACAATAAGCATTTCTTAACCTCTCCTAATTCCAACCTTCTAACCACTATCATACTCACCTCCAGGCAAAGTAGCTTTTCTCCAAGTTTCTTTCAGTGTGTCATTAGGTGAAAAGAAAGTGGGTAAGCTAACAATCAGCACGACCATTTACTCACCTTGCTTCCAGTTTTAGACATTTTTGGTGCATAGACTGGTTTCCCCAGTGCTGAAATCCAGGAATAGCTACAGAGCTAGAGGTTCAAAGACATTTATACTGAGCTGGTTTCAAATCAAACATTTGCTTGGTCATGAGAATAGGATCCAAAAATTGAGTCAGTCATTTAGAAACTATTGATGGTTTCTAGAAAAACAATTGGGATTATGAAATAAAGGAAGGCTTCAGTAC